ATTTGGGTTATGTCTCGAGCTTACAAAAGTGAAAACAAGCCCTCATTTGGTAGGGCAGGGTTGCTGTGCAAGGTACACTAGTACATTATTTTCAGCACTGATGCACAGCATTTTTCTATCCCAACTAAAATTCTGGTTTCCTTTCTATGAACTTATTTTTACTGAAGCCTAATTTAACAGTGGCCAGGTAGTCATTTTTTTCTTAAAGTTTTAACAAAATTAATTTCCTGAAAGTGTATTTCTTTTTGTCACAATTCAGCATGTACACAAATGTGAAGCCTAGACTCAGAGGCCATGCAGATAATAGCGTAACTTTACTCTTACCATGAAGGATGTTGGTTGCCCACATTATATACAGAAAGATGAGAGATGAAATGTTAAGACCAAGTTGTACACCTGCCTCAAATAAGTTTTGCATAATATGACATACAATTTCTGGAAAAAAACACCATATAACTTGTGAGTGACATTTCCATTTTCTAAAGTAAAACAAGGTTTTGAGCATATCTATTTTTACTTACTCTGCAACAATCAAAACTTAGTGACATTTTCTGGAAATTAAATATTATTGTTTTGGCTCTGACTTCCTGGCAGTGATTTTTTTTTCCACAATAACATGACAGTTTTGCATCAGAAAATGACTGGCATACGTTATAATTTTGTGCTTCCCTAGAGAAGAAGAGGAAGGAGCTTTAAAAAAGAAACACTGAAATATTTATTACTTGTGTAGGTGCAACTCATCATGTCTGGAACAAAAAAGTAAGACTGAACCTTCCAGTCAATGCACTCCATTTAGCCAAGCCAAGAAATAACTAGTTCCTAGAAGACTTCTATTTTAACGAGAACCTAACTAATTTTTGCAGCTAAACTAAATTATAAATTTTTAATTACCTTAATACCCTTGAAATCTCACGGAGCTTAAATAATCTCCCAGTGGTGACATGTAGCTAGCTGGAAGGAAAATATCTTAAGCTATAAAGTTCCTTTTCCTTCCCTGAAGAGATTTTACTGGAGAAAGGGTTCTCAAAAGCATTTCTTCAATGAGATTAGAAACTTTTATCTACATGTTTGTCCTTTGTCTGACTTAAAAATGATAATCTATCTACAGACTATGTAAAGATGGATTTCTTCTGTCATTTCTTTTATATTGCTTTAATTTTCTCAGACCTTACACAAAGCAGAAGCGATTTTCTTTAGATGTGCCTTGCCACTACAGAAATATAAGTGTATCTGCATCTCTGCACCATTATCTGCATCGTTAACATGTGATAGTGCAGAGTGAAGTATGTTTTGCAAACTCAGGTGGTACCACCTGCTACACAGTTCATTCTGGGACACTACCAACTTCACTGACTACAAATATGCAAATGCCAGAGGCTGATTACAGGTAAGGTCTTTATCTTCTCAGCTAGAGAGATGATTCTGAGGATGGCATCCAGGAGGAAATCTGTCAAGTATAGGTTCACAAGTGCTATTATAGGTCTGTGAATAACTATCAGACTTAAGCATGGTAGGGTGTGAAATGCAACCTCAACTTCAGTTGCATGTGACTGAAGGTACCTTGAGAGGGCTGTCTTTGAAGAAAAACATTGCCCTGCTTCTCTAGTGTTCTGCTATTTACAAAGCAGAATAATAAACAAAGATGCTTTATATATTCCTCCTCTGCAGTTTCTGTCCTATGAGAGGTGTTTTGCTAGTTACTAAATATATGGAGGGTGCCAGCATGGCTGTGTATCCTGCAGCTTTGAATAAATGTGCTCAGCCACCTGCTTTCCTGTAACTCCCCAGGAGAAGGATGAGTTGTGGAAAATGACAACAGTTCCATCTAAATACAGGAGAGAAAACATTTTCTTAAGTGGTACTGGGGCCATCCTAAACAAACATTGGCTTGAAAATAATGACCTGACTTGATTGTTCAATTTCTTGAAATGCAGTGCATGAAGTAGGGTTTTGCATGCTGCATTTAAATGAAGGTCAGCTGCATAGTAAATCTCTCTACCTCCACCTGTGTCTTTTAAACACTATTTGTGTCTCATCTTTTGCCATTCTTTTTAATGTTCTGTCTCCATTTTTCTCATATGGGTTTGGAATGGTTGCCAAAGTGCCAAACAGCAGCATTATTTGACTTTGCAAAGATTTCTTCTGAAATCTGTAACTGTAGCATTTATTCCCAGCCAGGAAGTATAATATTGGTATTTGACACAAATGCTGAAGTATGACAAGTGTATGCAGTCCTTTACAAACAACCTTCTTAACTTCTATTCTGATGCCTCACAGTGACCAGACAAACAGGGATCTCATTCTCAGACAGTTCTTTCACACAACCCTTGAAATACACTGTTTTTTTTGTGTATGTTAGGAATTCCTTGCTATTGGAAAAACAAACAAACAAAAGAACAAAAAACTACAGAAATCTGTCTGCAAATAAGTTTGGAGTGCGTTTTCACTGGCTGCAGTGAAATGTGGACATTAGCCCCAGTGGCTGATTTTTGCTGCTTTACCTAAGCCTGATATTTCACGTATCTCCACTGCTGGAAAAACAAGTCAAGTCAGCATCTTTTCTTTCCCAGAAAGCTTCTAGTCCTGACAGTTTGTTTATTCAGTGCAAACAAGGCTCTAAAACAAGACAAAAATAAACCTAACAGCTGGCCTATCCTCAGTGTTTTTAATTTTAGTACCTTTCTTTTGAGGCAGGCCTGATTTGATTTTTTTTTTCCTCATGGACTGGATTTAACACATTGTTTTTACCATAGTATTTACTCTAAAAAGTTTTTTATATTTCCTCAGAAATGTAAAAAGAAACTGTTGTTAAGAAAACAAGCTATAGTCAGATTAATAAGAGAGCAAAACTGGAACACGGATACAAGAAAATCTAGCTTGTCAATTCCATTGTTGATAAGGAATTTTACAGTGGCTTTCAGACAGCTTGAGAAGGAAGAAACTCATATAGGAGTGGCAAAAATATCATCAAGTTTTCTAGTCCAATCTGTATATTTTTTTTTGACTGTCTTGTTTCATAAAAAGTGAAGAATTATTACATTTTTATTGAGGTATAATACAGGCTTAAGGTTACTGAGCTTAGTATTGGATTATAAAATTACACAGCTTTCAGTGTTTCAGGTATGTTCTAACTTGCTGTCTTGCACCATTGACAAAGCTCTTGCACAGGTAGTTTTCAGTACCTGTATACAAATGCCGTATATCACATACACAGGCTTATAGCAACTGGATGTAAACATGGCAGTCAGTACTGCAACAGCTTGCAATGCAGCAGTGAGAGCCTCTGATTTTCTTCTTTTTCTGTATTGGGTTAGAAATCAGGTTGGTTTGAAAAGTTTTGGTAGAGTGCAATGCTGAGAATTGGGAAGAATGAGAAACACCAGGTGGTTTTATTAACTATTGCTTTCATGAAAATGAGAGTTGCTTTCATTATTTAGATACCTTTCCAAATTGACATTAATGTTACCTGTAACTGTAGGTGAGAATAAAGTTTGTTAGAGCTACTAAAAAATTATCACAATGATTTCTCATTCTTAGAGTTGGGAGCCATGCTGACTTCAATAGCTTTTGACTGTGAGTAAAGTTGTGAACTTGTTAGTCTTGATAAATATCCATTAACAGATAAAAGAAATCAGAGAAGTTTATTACTCTGCTGAAACTGACAGGTATGGAGTCATTTTGGCCAGTCTCAACTAATGCTTTAAGTTTTGTAAAAATGCCTTTGGCCTGAATGATAGAAGTCAGTTATATTCTATACAATGTAGCAATTCCAAAATACCTTGCACTTTACTGCAGACTGACATTGGTAGCTGCTTTGCTATATGTGCTGTTCTGCTTTACTCATCTCAGTTTTGCTTAATAAAGAACAGAACTATCCAGATATAAAGTGTTATGTGTTTGGACTGTGCAGACAAGTTTATTGGGACGAACAGGAGGGCATCTGACGAACAGGAGGGCAGTAAAGCATTACATACATTTGTGGTATTGCATAAGTAAACACTGTATGAAGTTTAGAACACTCCAAACCTACCATTAAAAGAACCAGTTATAAGGGCTGATAACTGAACATCAACATATTTACTGACAAATAACTAGTGAACTGAAAAGCTCAGGGCATATTATAAAAATGCATTAGTTGGTGTTCAAAAGTGATTAATTGTAGGAAGGTAAGGCTTGGATGTTTTTGGATGGCTTTTGGATGGTGCTACTTGACAGACACAACTGGGTCTGATCATTACGAAGACAGGCTGAAGGAGCTGGGCTTATTCAGCCTGGAGAAGGTTGCGGTGTGAAGTCATTACAGTCTTCCAGTACTGAAGGGAGCCTACAAACAGGAGGGGAGACAACTCTTTACAAGGGTAAATAATGGCAGGATGCGGGGAAATGGTTTTAAATTGAGGGAGGTTGGATATCGGGGGAAAGTTCTTTACTGTGAGAGTGGTGAGGTGCTGGAAGAGGCTGTGGATGCCCTGTCCCTGGAGGTGTTCAAGGACAGGTTGGATGGGGCCATTGGCAACCTGGTCTACTATTAGATATGGAGGTTGGGGTAGGGGAGTTGGAGCTTGATGATTCTTGAGGTCCATTCCAACCCAAGCCATTCTATGATTAATACAGAAGATTATGCTTGGTAACTGCCATGTGGCACTAATGAAGAAACACAAGTGATAAATTCAGTCATGATCTATGTTTTTCATTTGGGATAAAACTACATGAATCAAACGTAGATTACTGATGTTAACGGAAAAGCTGTTGGCAGTGCTGAACAGCTACATCACTGCCATTATTACATAGTGGAGCAGAGTGGCAGACCTTGAAAGGATACTGTTTATTTAGAAGATACCAACACTGAAGTCTTTGTTCAGTCATTTGCCATGGATGTAGGTTTCCACAATTCATATTCTTAGATGCATTTGAGCTAGATCTCCTTTGCATCACTAACACGCATTCTTATTTACCTAGTTACCTATAAAGGCATCCAGAATGAAAACAGTGAGTTTCTCTACACTTAAAATATCACTTTCTTTATTGTAGAGCTAGTAGAAAATCCAAGCGAAGGAAGACAAGAAACTCCCCACTTAGCCCTCAGTTATTGGGTGTATTAAACAGCATTATACAGTTTACTAAGAGACATTTCCCTAAGAAATGGCTGTACTGTTTTTCATTGGTTTCTCCTCAAATGCTGGATCTGTTGTTATGAACTTTAATGGAGGCCCTGAGAGGTTACTTCCCGTAACAAAACCCCAAGCTGCATAGATAGAAAGCCCCAAAGATATAATTGAGAACACAAAACAATTCATGTGTAGACTGGCTACACCAGTATCATTAAATACTCAGTAAGATGAGGCAGCAACTTTGATCATTGGCTATCTGTTGTCTTCTATGACAATGGTTCTTCTAGGATAGGAATCAACATCCACCAGTATGTAACGGACATCAAATCTTCCTTTCTCGGGATTCTGTAATGAGGAAAAAATTTCAAGCAGTTTTTCTCTTTTTGATAGTTTAAATCTAAGATTAGCCTTGTCAGCTGTATCAAGCAATTCTGCATACCTCTTTGACTTCCACATGGACTGTTCCCTGCTTTCCTGGTTCAGAGCCTTCAATATAGAACTTCAAACGCATATGTTTCAGTCCATCCTTTACATATTCAATGTGACTAAAAATAGCAAAACAAATAAAAAAAACACAACCCACCCAGCAAGGATAGGTATTTAGACTTGAAATTTAATCTTCCTATTTAGAGGAGCTGCTTCATTACTTTGTGAGAAAGTGCATTCCAATGCAGCCCTTATGCTATCATGGGTTCTTTCTTGATTTGTCTTCCCAAGCTTTACTGTGGGCAATAAAGAATAGTGGAAAGTCAGAAAAGAAAACTACTTAGCAGTTGATAGTTAACAGATGAGGTTCTTAAATGTTTTCACTGCAGTCCTCCCCTCAAAATTCTACAGCAATAAAACAGCTGAAGATTCTCTAATTTCTTTGTATTTGTTTTAAAGAACCCTCAGATTCAGAATCTGACATGTAGGAAACAAACACTCAGATCACCAAGACTATCACGGTTGGGTTTTTTTAAGATACTTTCAGTTTTCCAAGCCAAAGCATGTCATGAATGCCTTGTCAACTTCAGGTTAGTTTAAACCACACCAAGATAGCTTCCTATGTGCTTCACATTTTTTTGCCAAAAAATGTTCTATATAAGTTGTTAAATACACAGCAAAGATGTGGCCTCAAGTATCAGAAAGTGATATAAATAGTGGTCACTTAGTGATGCGTGTCAGTTCAGGACAATGGTTTCCACAGTGACTACAGCCTCTGCACAGCAAGATGCAGCCTACCTTTAAACTGCGTAAGTTAGATTCCTAAAAGTCTCTCCTGTGCAGAAATGTTATCTCATAAGAATGAAAACTCCACTTTTTCAAAGAACAACCTCACTCTATTTGAGAACTTCAGCCTGTAGGCTTCGGTCTCACCTCTGCTCCCCAGATGCGTGCCTACACTCTTCAGCTCATCCTGCTTTTTTTGCAGGGAGCTACTCCATGTTTACCACACTGACCACTGCTTATTCTGAGGAACAAGAATTGGTATTTCATATTCTACGTGCACTGCATTTAGGGATGTGTGCCACACAAGACATACAGCAGAAAAACTCAAAGCAAAAACAAGGAATGTGTCACACAGTTCAGAAGCCTAGCTGTAGCTTTCTATGATGTGATCCAGAATGTCTTTTCTGTGCAAAAACTATGATCTGTATGGAGCAAACATCAAATGGTACCTGACAAACTGTCGTCTTCCTCTTCGTGTTGCCTCTCCATAACCTTTAATGGGTTCACCAAAAACACCAATTACCTACAAGAGAGAAGAGGTCTGAGTTGTCAGAAGCTATCACATTCAAATGCATACTCTAGCATCAGCTCACATCTCTTCTGTGAATACATCTTTCAACAAAATGCCCCTTGTGAGCCTGATGAATGCAAGGGTTTATGAAAGAAAACAGTGCATGGATAAATTACTCTATTTCAATGATTTCTTTACAATTGCTTATAAAATGTCTACAGTAAATCCTAGCAATACGTCCTATTTGTATCATCTATTGACATTTAGACATTTCATTCTCTTTTTTTACTGTGTATTTTATACTTTTCTGACATTTTGTGTGAAAAGGAGAAAAAAGCATGAAATATTTGCTCATGTCTCTTCCAAGAGAATTTTTTACTGTTTTAATCTTAAAATGCAAATGAACTCCCCTTCATCTTATTTAAAAATCACTACTGCTTAAGAAATGCAAGCTTTTTTTTTTTTTTTTTTTTTCCCAGATCTATAAAACCAGGCCAAATTATCCTAGCTTTAAACATAATGTTGATTAGAAAGGAAGGGTGGTTTTATAAGCACTGGAGAGAAGTTTAATTCTGCAAACTTGTTCTACAGTAGTCTTTTATTTTTCCTAGTAACAGCTTGTAACTTTAACTTTAGGTTAATCCCAATTGCATATGTGGCAACTTCTTTGAAAGCTATTCTGTCTTGTTTGAGGCATATTTTGGAATCTAGTTTTGGACTGTTGTTTATTTTTTTTTATATTTACCCATCTTATGTAATTGATCAGATGCATATTCCCGTTCTCCTTTCCTCTTAACCACAGCAACATTAGCCTTGTTTCAAATGAAGAGTTTAAATTTGTGGTTATTAATGCAGTGCTTCATACAACAACAGAATCCTACTGAAGCGTCACAGTAGAATAATCATGTTGAGGGAAAAAGTCATCAATCCAAACCTATAAATTGTAAGTGGAACCAGGTGCCTCCCTGATCAGCAAATCCGCAAATACCTCTGTAAGTACATGCTCTGACGTGGCAGACACTGCAATTGCCTCTGTTGTTGTGCTGCTGTACACTCCCTTGACTTTTGGCAGGTTTAATTCATTCAGGCTTGGTGCATGTATTAACTTCATTTAGGGCAGGTCTACATTTGGAGCTGACCCAACTCTTGTTGGCGTTTACTAAGCACCAAGGCGATGTTCCTGCAGGTTTGCTTGTGAGATTCCTGGTGCAAATTTGTGATTTGGAGAGAAGCAGTGAGTTCTAAAACCCACCTCAGGATGAGATCTGCATTTCTCTAAGGCATCTCCATAGATCTTACTTGGACTGGAAGAAGAGAATAGCTCTTTAAAAATCACATAGAACAAACCACCTGTAACAGAATCAAATACAAATGGAGTAAGAACTAATCTAACTAGATGGAATTTATGAAAAGCATTTTCTGATAAGGAATAAAATTTTTAAAATAACCTGTAACACCAATTCCAACAAGCACCACAATCAAGTAGGTAAAGTCTCTTCCAGCTTCTTTCACTGAAACAGACAAAAAACAACATGGGAGTTAGCAGGATGGAAAGTAGAAGTGCGAATACTTTTATTACATAAAGACCCTTCTGTTAGTCTACAGTTCAAATAACACATTGGCAGAAATAAACATTCCAACCATGACTTCCATCATGCCTCAGCACTAAAAGGTCATGGAATGGCCCTGTTCTCCAGGGCATATTTGTATCTCTAGATTCAACTTTCTTTTTTTTTTTCCTGAATAATAAAAAGGAGGGTATTAGACCGAAGTGTATATTTCATTTATTGAGATCATGACCTACAACTTATGATGTAATTTGATCTAATATACAAGAGTTAGTATATACTGAAAAAAAAAGTCATGAGAGTGAGGAGGAGACTGCTGATGTGACAAAGTATGCCTTTTAGCAAAGTGCAAATTACTGAGGGAACATGAGAAAACATTTTTCTTGCAATGTTCCTATCAGTTGAGGATATTTTCCACAATTATTTTTCTAATTTAGAATTTCAGAGGCTGCATAGTAACAACTTCCTGCTGAAATGAATGCAAAGAACCAAAATGATAGCCGCCTAGAAAGACATAAGGGTCAGACAGAGCATGCTGCCAATTTACTGAAAGTAAACTCGGTTTAACAGGACCAAAACGGGCTTCATGTGATGGGTTTTCTGCTTAAAAAGGGACATGAGAGGTTACTAAAGTGATGCCTCGTGTAGATGTGACCTAAGCAGTAAAATCGGCCAGCTGTTTGGAAGAAGCCACAACATTCCTGTTGTGCTTGTGCAATGCATGCACTGAGAAGTATGACAGTGTGAAAGAAAGACCTGCTGGTGTTCTGAAAGTTGCGGTTTAACCAGTTTCCAAGTGTTGGGTGCATAGCGGGGCTCTAGAACTTCAACCGCGGCAGGGATGTCCTCCGTGTCAGGCTCTTTAAACACACTGGCGCGGCACTCCGCCAGCGATCACAGGCCTTACCTCTCTCAACAGTGGACAGAAGCGTTTCTTCTTTCTGATCTGTCCGCACCGACACATGCTTGCCGTCCCCGCCGGGTTTCCCGGCGCTCAGCCCCCCCGCCCGCGTGGAGATGGCGGCTCCCGGCCGGAACCCAGCGGGACTCACAGCCCGCTCGCCGCCGCGGGGCTGCGGCCGCCACCTGACGGACGGCCCCGCCAGCAGCCACCGCCCCAGCGGGGCCCGCAGCCGCCCGCAGCCCCGCACGAGGGAGGCAGGGAGCATGCTGAGCGGGGGTGCTCCGCGGCTGCTGCCTCCGCACCCCTTCTCCCGGGGCTCTGCTCCCCGTTGGGACGCACGCAGAGGCGGAGGAGGGAAGCGCTCCCGCCTCTCAGGAGCTCCCGCTGCCCTTCGTTCGCCGATAGTTGCACCCCGCCATCATTGTTGCGGAAATCTCTCGCCGCGTGAGGGGAGAGTCTTCACGGCCCCTGGGAGCTGTAGTTCAACCAACCTCCCTCCTACGCCCGCCACAGGAGACGGCTGCCGGAAAGGAACTACAGCGCCCGCCATGCCCAGCGCCCTGCCCACCCCGGGGCGGAGCCCGCCGCTCCGCTGCCGTAGTCTGCAGCCTGTTGGCAGCATGCTGCTTGTGTGCCCGGCTTGCTGCGCGCTCTCTTCCCTATTAGCGCCAGCGAGACAGAGAGCAGAGGGTCTTGCGTGTGTGGGAGTGATGTATTTGGTATTTCAGCCAGTAAACAGAATTACAGAATGGTTTGAGTCGGAAGGGCTCTCAAAGCCCACCCAGCCCCACCCCTCCAATGTGCAGGGCTGCTCCGCACCACTCAGCTGCCCACGGCCCCATCCAGCCTGGCTTGAGTGCCTCCAGAGATGGAGCACCACAGCTTCTCTGGGCAGCTGTGCCAGCTCCTCACCACACTGAGTAGAGTTTCTTCCTCACATCTAAGTCTCCACTCTCTTACTGTAAAGCTATTCCCCCTTATCCTGTTACTATTAACCCTTGTAAAAAGTCAGTACTCTTTCTGCCTTTAATCTCCTTTCAAGTATTGGAAAGCCACAACGAGGTCTCCCCAGAGCCTCCTCTTCTCCAAGCTAAACAAGCTGAACTCCCTCAGCCTTTCTTCATAGGAGATGCTCCAGCACTCTGATTGCAGCCCTCCTCTGGACCTGCTCCAACAGCTCTGCACCCTTCCTGTGCTGGAAGCTCCAGGCCTGGACTCAGTACTCCAGATGGGGCCTCATGATGGCAGAGCAGAGGGGGATGATTCCCACCCCCTTCCTGCTGCCAACCCTCTTTTGATGCAGCCCAGGATATAGTTGGTGTTCCAGGCTGCAAGCGCACACTGCTGGCACACACATGTCCAGCTTTCAGTCCACAAGGACCCCCAAGTCTCCACAGGACTGCTCTTATTGAGTTCTTCTCCCCATCTGTACACATATCTGGGATCGCCAAATTCCAGAGTATCTAGAAAAATCTCTTCTCCTGCTTCCTAGGGAATGTATTGTTGATATGGGGCATGAGAATAATTTCTTGTGCAAATAGAAGTTAGTCAAGCTGTTCTATAAGATTGAGTTGAAACAGTGAAAGGAAGGGATGACATTCAGAGGGACCTCAACAGACTTGAAAGGTGGGCTTGGGTGAACCTTATGAGGTTCAAGACAGCAAAGGGCAAGGTTTTGCACTTGGGCTGGAGGAATCCCAGACATTTATACAGACTGGAAGAAGCAGTCCTTTAGAGCAGCCCTGCAGAGAAGGACCTGGGGGTCCTGATGGATGAAAAACTTAACATGAGCCAGCAGTGTGCTCTTGCATCTCAGAAAGGAAATGTTATCCTGGGCTCCATCAAAAGAGGGGTGGCCAGCAGAGACAGGGAGGTGATTGTCCCTCTCTACTCTGCCCTTGTGAGGCCCCATCTGGAATACTGCATCCAAGTGTGGAGCCCCCAGTACAAGAAAGACAGCGAGCTGTTGGAGAGGGTCCAGAGGAGGGCCACAAAGATGATCAGGGAGCTGGAGCACCTCCCCTACGAAGACAGGCTGAGGGAGCTGGGCTTGTTCAGCCTGGAGAAAAGAAGGCTGCGGGGTGACCTCACTCAGCTTTCCAGTACCTAAAGGGAGCCTACAAACAGAAGGGGAGTCTATTCTTTGAAGGGGTAGATAACAGCAGGACGAGGGGAAATGGTTTTAAGTTGAGGGAGGGAAGATTTAGGTTGGATGTCAGGGGAAGTTCTTTACTGTGAGAGTGGTGAGGTACTGGAACAGGCTGCCCAGAGAGGCTGTGGATGCCCCGTCCCTGGAAGTGTTCAAGGCCAGATTGGATGGGGCCCTGGGCAGCCTGGTCTAGTATTAAATAGGGAGGTTGGTGGCCCTGCCTGTAGCAGGGGGTTGGAGATTCATGGTCCTTGAGGTCCCTTCCAAACCATTCTGTGGCTCTGTGAGTTCAAATATCTGTTCTTTCTGGAGGAGAGGAGGCTCAGAGGAGGCCTTATTGCTCTCTGCGACTCTGGGAAAGGAGGCTGTAGTAAGGTGCAGGTTGGCTTCACACATAATAGTGATAAGAGGACATGACTTCAAGTTGTGCCAGGGGAGGTTCAGGTTGCATGTTAGGAAGAAATCCTCATAAGGAATGGTGCTGCAGTGGCAAAGGCTGCCCAGGGGGGTGGTGGATGCCCCATTTCTGGAGGTGTTCAGAACCACGTGGATGTGGCACTGAAGGACGTGGTCAGTTGGGATGGGCTGACGCTTGGACTAGATGGTCTTAGAGTATTTTCCTATCTTAATGATTCCGTGATTCTGTGACTTCAGATCCCATTTTCCCTGTTCGGTGAAGCATCTGTAAGAGGCACTGCAACACTGAGAGCCCGGCGTTCCTTCAGACCTCGGTTTGGGCGCTCAGATCGCCGAGGCCGACACGGCGCGGTGCCCCGAGCCTACGAGCTCTCGTTGCCATTCAAAACCAAGTCTGTACGAGGTGCAGCCGCTAGCGGCTCCGCCCTACCCCGCCTCGGGGCGCGGCGCTCCCCACCCCGCACCGCGCCGACCCGCTGCCATGGCGGCAGCTCGCGGCTCGGCCCCGCTGCAGTACGGCCGCGAAGCGGCTCCTGCTCCAGCCGGGCTTGGGCGGCTGTGTTCCTTTACCCCGGTTGCTGCCTCTCGGTCCGGCCGGGCCGCCGGGCTCAGGTAATGGCCTCCCTGCTCGGTCTGAGGAGTGTCCGCCGAGGGTTCTGTTCCCCCAGAGCTGCCCCTGGCATTTCTCGAAGCGTCTACGGCGGCGTGGGCCGTTGTCCTTTCCGTTGTTCTCCTTGGAAACGCGGTCTGTGAGGTGCTTAGGGGACCTCGTGGCAAATGTGTGTGTTGGAGCTGGTGTAGTAGATGGGAGGATTTCTCTGTGGAGTTTGTGCTGTAGCCTACAGCACCAAGTTCAGAAGCGGGGTTGAGAAGGCACATGTGGCAGGAGGTTTGGAGATTCATTATCCTTGAGGTCCCTTCCAATCCTGGCCATTCTGTGATTTCTACTAACGCTGTTGTGTAGTCTGGAGTTTAATAGCTGGTTTATTCCTCCCCTTTTTAACCTATGGGAATGGGATAATGCCCGCCCTTCAAGAAACCTTTGGGGTCGATAGCTGAAGAGCAAAGCAGAAGTCAGAGTATTGCTGACATTGGTATTTATCTACACCTATACTGCTACATGTGGAGAAGTAGACAGGTGTTGTCACTACTCTCAGCTTCCTCTATGTTTTCTGAAGTAGGTTTGTTCCCTGGCCAGCTGCAAAACAATAAAGGGCAGTGTTCCCATTGCAAGTACTACAGGGTACACAAGTGAAAATACTGATATAAAACTGAGTTCTACAAATTGAAACCTAACGGAACAGCAGTTGAGGTTGTTGTGCCTCTAGGGTAGAGCATCTCCATTGGTAGAGAGGGAATTCAGCTGCTGTTGAACAGAATTTGGCTCTAAATCCTTTTAATGGCTCTTGAATAGTGCAGTTTGTTACAAACTGATTCACAGTGGTACTTAATCTCATTTTCTAAATGTACTTGATAATAATAATGCACATCCGTGAAACATTTACTTGACCTTCAGGGTGTATCTGACATCTGGTTACTTTTTTTGTTGCTATTAATGTTGCTAATCTATTAGAGTTTGTCATCCAAACTGAAATATGTATGTTTTTGTGTAATATTTCTAACAGTTCCATCCAAAAATATGCAACTAACTTGAAGATATTTTGATTGTGACTTATGAAGTTCAGTCTTCCAGAAAACTAGGAAAAATGTGTTGCCAATTTGTTTGTAAGGTTTTGTGTTAGATGTATGCAAAATTGCTTTTTTTCTTCTTTCCAAATTATTTTGTATTACTGAACAATAAAAACACTGATACCTTCTATTGAACTATCGCCTGCACTGTTGCTTGTATTTTAGCAGGGGAAAACCTGAAATGAGAGTGTAGCTTTGTCTCAAATATGATTCTGTTTTACAGTCAAGGGAACTCTTTTTAAGCCTTGACAACTTTTGGGAAAATCTCTAAGTATTGTTCTATTCGATATTTTTTAATAATTTAGTAAAGCTGTATGGTTCAAAAATATCTGTAGAATTATGCTGCAAACCAGAAGATTAACACAGCGAGTTTGACTTAGTGTAGGGGTCTGTCTGGAGCTTGATTCTGGTGCCAACAGTGATGTGGCTGTCTAATAGATCTCTACTGAATCAAATTGCATTTGATGGCATGTTCCTATCCGACTACTGTGAGAGATTAATCAGAGGAGAGAGACCTGTGAGTTTAAATCTGCCATCTTCCTGATGTCAGGCATTTTAACTTGGTGATAATTGTTCAGATTATTTGATAATAATGAGTTACCATATGATGTATTCCATCTTGCCTCCGCTGAGATGTTTGCATAATGATGTGACTAAGAGCTTTTACTTTATAGGAATATGTCACAGAGCTTTGCTGCTGGATCTAAGAAATATTCTGAAACTGTAAATGCTGACAGCCTGTGTTGGACACCTTCCATAAATTCAAAACCTAGTGTGTGCATTGAGAAGTAAGTATATCTTCAGTTTAAGAGAGGAAGAGTGCTTGCAGGCTATAAACCAACTTAAATTTATTAAGTTCATGTATTGGACATGTCAGATGTTCAGAATTGAAAAGATTTGCTTTCCTGACCTTCATTGTGATCCTGTGCTAACATTCTGATATTTTCAGGCATAGTTCTACTTCACATCCCTTTCTAAGTTCCCATGAAGTATGTAGGTCTTCCAAATGATATCAAGCCATGTTCTCCAAGTCATGCAAAGCCTTCAGTAAATCCTTTGTAAATCAGGGGATGTGATGATCCTTAAAAATAAAACAGTGTTACTGTGTTACATAAAGAAAAGCCACCTGGAATAAAACTTCTGATGTTGTTTTTGATACTTACTAGTTTTTGTAGGGAGCCAAAATGGTGGAGTGAGGGGAAGGAAAATAGCTGCTGCAGTTGTGCTCAAAGTAAATATTTCTCTCCTTACTCGACATTGAAAGAGCACTTGTAAATTATTTTGTTTTTGAAAGTCTTTTAAGTTTCTCCAGAAACACCTAACAATATTTTTCATAAAGGATTGTTTCTTTGTTCCTTTGTTTCATATATTTTGCAGCCTTCTGTATTAGTCTTCTGTTTTTCATTGTAAAACCAGTTCAATCCCTTGAATGCCTTGTGTTATTAGTTTGATATGAAAGGTGAGGAAAAAAGCTTCCTTCAAAGGAAAAATAATGTGGGTGTAGAAACTACTATTCAGAATTCTAGGTCAGACATATTATGTTAAATAATTTGTAACTTTTCAAGAGATCATTTTTAAGTTTTCTCTGGAATTAGCTGTTTTGAGTTGACACAGTTTGAATCCCTTCACTTAAATAACCATGCAAGTTTTGGCATGCTTGCTTCTCTTTTAGTACAACTAAATTTTTTAGTTTTAATACATGCTGTGGAGTACTGGCATTATTATACTTATATGCTTGAAATCTGCATATGTATGGAATCAAGCGTTATAAATCAGCAGGTTTTAAATGATACAACTGGGAAAAAAAAAAAGAGACATGGCTGTGGTGTTTATTTCACAGGACTTTTTTTTTTTTTTTTTTTTTTTTTTTTTTTTTGTGATTTTGATATTATCATACTGCCATGCTCTAAAAAGTTAGAGTATAAAATACTTTTTAAAATTTATTTAATAAACTCTGTGCTGTTACCAGGTACTACTGTAAGAGTTCAGGGTTTCTGTCTGTTAAAATGAAAAATCATAGTGTCTTATCTCCAGGCTGTGTTCACTTGTACTTAGGCTGCAAAAAAAACAGTGCATGTGGAATTTTGCAGCTGGCACCTGCAGGTCAGCAAGCTGCCTGATGGACAATCAATGTTTTTATGGTTTTGCACAACTCTTATTTTGAAGTTCACATCTTTCTCTTGGCATAAATTAGAGTTGTGTGAGGCTTCAGAGCACACATGATTTGAATATTTTGATGAGATATAGCATGATTGTTCACCGTTGGACTGGGACATTTCTGTGCAGGTACATCATAGCAGCACAGTTGGGGTGGGTGGGTATACGCAATTCTGGTGAATGTTCATGGGTTAAATTGTAAAATCATGATACTAGAAGTGAGAGACTGAATGAGGTAGTTTTGTGTCAAGCTGGGTTTAACTTAAATGAAAATGCAAACCCAAAACTTCATGTAATGTCTTACACCACTTTATTAGGTTGTTAGAAACTGTTGTAAGCAAATATGATAGATCAAAGATAAATTAGAACCCAAACTCTGCAAATTAATTCTTGAATTGAGGCTTGGTCTTGGGACTCAAGCTGGAGTTTTGTTCCCCTTTTACTCCAGTTTAGTATTAAAGTTCTTTGCTATTTTCATTTCTGGTACTTGCAGACAAATCTAACTGGGTTTGTTTCTTCTGTTTTCCAGCATGCCATCAGAAATGCTGATAAAGGTATTTTCCTATTTGGATGCTGTATCCCTGCTGCATGTGGCTTGTGTGAACAAGCGCTTCTATCAGCTGGCCAGTGATAAGTAAGGAAAGTGTGCTAGTCTTACTTGTACATCAGCTGAGTTTACCTGAGTTACTAGTCTTTCTAATCTAGTTTCACTGATGCCAAAGCACTGGTGAATATTACCTACTGGCAATTACTGTGCTGAAAGTGTATTGCATAGCTCACAGTACAATGTATTGCATGGAATTTTAGCTGTGCATGCCCTATTAACTTTAGTGGGAATTATCAGGCAAAACGTAAATATGATGCTTTGAAATGTTGTTGTTAGCATTTTTTTTTTGTAAAATTTGCATTTATTTCTGTTTGTATTCATAAGCACCTGCACTGGGTCATTAGCTCAGGCAGTCTTTAGTGGTGTGTAGACAGTAGCTTTGTGGAATCAAGCTTTTATAACTTCTTTAGCTCTTTTTTTGGTCTGTTTGCAGAGAATTTGACTTAGTCAAGTGATTGACTGGTGGGACTGGTGGCTTTTATCTGTTGCTGTCTATCCAATTCTGGTGACTTTTAAATGGAAGGCCAGACATAAATATTGGCAACTGTCTTGTTATTGTTCATACTGAGCTAATTTCAACATGACTTTATGAAAGGATCAAGAGCTTTCATTTGTACAGGTAACTAGCATACCTAGGAATCATTTTTTCCCCAGGATTCTGCTGCATTGGTATTATTTAAATGAGAAAATCACTTCCTGTACAGTAAGTTGCTGCAACTAGTAGTCATCTGTATTTCACTTATTTGCCAAAATTTGATCAGTTCACCTTTAGAACTTAAGAATTTCAAGGGAAGGTCATAATCCAGATTTACTTTTTTTGAGGCTGTCAGCACATGCATACATGTAAAAATTGTATAGTTAACACAAGTTATGTATCTTAATGTGCTTTTTCAACTTCAGAGTAGTAAAACATGATTAAACTGGTGTTTGTCTGCTTCCATCTCAGCATTTCCATTTTCTAATCTCAGCAGTGATTGCTATGGACAAAAATATGATTTGAGGATAAGTTGCTTTTCTTTATTGAGGAGACCATCTGGTTCAGTAAGACTGGGTCACTTCTTTCTGTTGGATTTCTATGGGCCTTCCTGAGTCTCTGAATCTTTTGGTGCATTAAGAGAAATTTCAACTGTGACAAAACTAGTCTTTTCTCAGGCAGAGTATCTTCTTGAGAACTGCTTTGCTGTCCTTATTGTTAAGCAGGTTCAATGGCTCTTGATGCAGCTGAGCTATCAGTCTTTCAGTATGGTGCATCTGTGATGCCCAGTGCTGTGTTTTGTCTTTGGGCTCTTCACATAATGTCTTTGGTATTGAAGTCTTCAGTATAACTGTTGAAGGCAGGGTAATGTTTCTGTCCCCTCATTCTGCCCTACCCCCAAGTCCAGCATGTAGTAGTTGTCCTTCCTTTCTGTCATGCGATATTTCTTCACTGGTAGAAGGTAACTGTATAGCATGATCTAAGATGATAGAACACCAGAAGATCTTTTAGATTTGCTTAGACCATTTTGGCGGTGTGGTCAAATGATGAATGTCAGTTCATGTCTGATTCTGGCACTCAAGTTAGCATGAATAGATTGAGTTGGTTTATTGTGATAGTGTCTGATAAGAGATCTTGAGGTAAATAATATACTTAACACCATGAGGCAAAAGCCACATGTAATCTGCTGTCAGAGGCAAATTCATGCTTCCTTGTTGGATGTCTTTATGATTTGTGAGGCTGATGGGTGGGTAGTTCCTGGGGTCATCCTTTTTGCCCTTCTTAAGAATGGTTATAATGTTGCCTTTTTTCAGTTGCAAGAGACTTCATCTAACTGCCATGGCTTTTTCAAGTATCCTTGAGAGTGTCTTGCTTACTACATCAGCCAATTCCCTCTGGTCTCTGGGATTCGTGTCCTTGGGAGCCATAGACATGTGGATGTTAAAGTTCCTTAGGTGATCACGAACCTGATCTTTGTTCACAGCAGGAGAGATGTTGCTTCCCAATCTCCTCCTTCTAAATCTTTCATTTGAGGACTGTGTGATAAGCAGTTATCAGAGAAGATCAAGGCAAAAAAATTGATTACCTCAGCCTTCTCCTTGTCTTGTTTTTGGTTTCAGAACTGAAATCTTTGTGGTTGTTTCTTGTGTTTCTTGTGTTTCAGCAGGAAGTTCTAAGTAGATCTCACTTAGTATGTATACATGTATACTCTAGAAGGAAAAATATATCCAAAGAGTCTGTATCCTCTGAGATGGTCTCATAAGCTCATGAGGCATGGTGACTGACATCTACCATCTTTTAGCATTCAGCTTTACTCTTGATATGAGCTATTCAGAGATCATAATATGGACAACTGTAAAAACTGTGCCTTTGCAATGATTGGTATATGGGAGGCTACACATTCTGGTCCTCTTTAAACTTAGATTTAGATTAAGCCTGATTTGTTGATGCTCTGAGACTTCATATTTTCTGCCAACATTATGCTCAGTGATAACTGAGATCTGCCTGTGTAAGATGGACTTTCTATTGTATTGCTGAGGTGGTTTGATGGTTATGCTTATAATTAAGTAACTTGAAATTTGTGTGATTTTCCTCTGTGTTCTATTCTTTTTTTCCAGTGGAATCTGGCTGAAAATGTATTTCAGTTGTTTTCCAGCAAAACGGAGAATTTGGAAAAATGAGTTTTTACAGATGGAAACTGTTCCTTCGAGCTGTGCTGTTGTAGAGGATAGAAAGCCTGGATACTGGAAGAAAGAATACATCTTGAAACAAATAGCTGCTGTCAAAACTAGAGTAATGCAACTTGTTAAACCTGTAGATCCATGTACAGGTCTTCCATGTAAAAACCAAAAAGCTATAAAGTAAGCAATGCCTTGTCACAAAAGACGTTTACTCAGGAAAAATGTACAGAATGTTAATGGCTTTGGAAAGCTGAGGAAATGTAAAAACAGATCTATAAAATGCATACTGTGTTGTGAAGGTACAGTTATAGCCTATGAATGATCTAAATGAATAGCAATTAATTCAAATTTAGAAATATTGTAAGCATAGTTATTTTGAGAACCTTTGTGATTGGTTTGTTTGTTTTTCTAAACACTCCCATTCTCTCTCAATCCCCAAATAACAGAGCCTCTGGCTTGAGTTGGATAATTGTTCTAAAGGACAAAAATGGAAAGGAACATGTAATGGAGAAGGCACACCTATCATTTAAGCACACGTCTGTTAGTATATTTTGGCATGGTACAGGTTGGCCATGCTTAGACGTTCTGTCAACCCTAAAATTATTTGGAGTTATACCACTGCTTCCTGACCAAAGCACAGCTCCCAGCAAGAATGGGTGAGTTTTAACATATGATTTTTGACATTTTTATTGTTATCACTTGTTGATAACGATGCTGTAGAAGCTATCTGAATTTGTTTCTTTCCTAGAAAGCCTATCTGTATTACGTCTATAATCTTGTTACTATATTCTGTGTGTTCTTTTCAGTCCTCGTCGACGTTCCCTAATTGCTGAGTATTCTCTTTCTCACTTGACTGAAAGCAGTGTAGCAGTTGGGTCTGATAACCTTGTCCAACTCTTCAGTTTGAATCCAGGACTTGTTGTAGGACTGTGGAAAGTAAGGAAACATTTTGTATTTTAGTTTTATTGCATCTTTTCTGTTTGTTTGTTTATTTATTTACTTTGGATTTTAAAACTCTTGTCTAAACTAAAAGCGGGAAAATACAGGTAGAAATAGTTATTTGATAATTTACTGTATTCTATAGAGCTGTCACAAGTGTATCTGTACTTTCTAAAGAAAAATGCCTCTAAGTTAAGAACTGTTTTATATCAATGTATTAGATACTGTAAAAACATTATTTCTGTGTTCAGTTGTATTTATTTTGCAGTCATTGTATGTCAAATTTTGATTACTCAAAGACATTTTAAATAGCAGAGTTTGAGGGTGACAGTGCTTCTCAGCTCCTACACTCCCTGCTTGACCCGTTCCTTTCATTTAAAGCAATACATTCCTACAAAGCACTTTGGAAGCCAATTGCTTCCTTTGGTCTACATCACCAAGTAATTGTATCCTATTCTTAGCAGTAGGAAGGCTGTAAGTAGGGCCCTTGTGGGGATGCTCTGTGATATTCAGTGTCTAACTGAAATATCTACATTAAGGGGTTAGTCTTTGTGAGCTGTACATAGAGATGAACATCTTTTAGAGAGCAGGGTAAAACTTCTAAAGCAGATATCTGCTTAGAAGGAATATGCATCTTTGCACTGGATAGATATGCTGGGACCCAGGTGTCTTCCTGAAGTGGTTTAAAGCAAGATTCTGTGGAAGTCTGGCTCAAACATTCTGCTCTTGAGTTGAGTTCAGGGGTGGCAACCATTCCTTGTTCCCCCTGCCATAGTGTATGGGAACTGCTGAGTCACGGCCTGAACCTCTGATTGATCACCTGAGGTGAGCAATGAGTCAGCCCTGGGAGCACAGGTGAAAGCAATTCACCTGTGCTGCAGGAAGGGGTGGAGCCTGGCTTCACCTCTCCTAGACCCATTTAAGAGCTGACTACCAGTGAGGAAGGATCTTTCTCTCTCTTTGGAAGATCCACTCCACTGGAGTTTCCTGAGCGAGCCCATGACACAGGTAAGCATCCTATTTATTCTCTTTGTCTCGCTGTGCCTAACTCTCTTGCTTATTTCATTATTATAAAGTCTTAATATTATTTGATTATATAATATTCCTTTTATATAATTTTCATTGGTTACACACATGGCAATAAGGTAGATTTAATTATATTATTTAGCATTGGCAAGGAGCTTTGCTCAGGGAGGCTATGAACAGTAATTCAGAACTATTTTTATTTTCAGCTGGGAACTCTTGCTATCTCAAATACACACAATTACCAGAGGAACTGTTTAAAACCACATAAAGAATACTTGCTTCACCATTACTTAAAGGAGTCAGTTTCCTAGAAATCTTGGGACTGGCTGACCTCTGCAAGCCTGATTCTGACTTTCTCAATCTTTGAAAAGCTCAGATAACTAAACAACAATTTCCTTTGATATTCAGATGTTCTTTAGTAGATTGGTGTCCATGTGTTGTTGTCCCTATGGTTTTGTTGATATGTTACCTCTTCCTGTGCTTGAAAGAACTTCAGCACCTGGAAATGATTTAATATAAGTACCACAAATTTGCTAACAATTGATTGTCGCATTCTAGTACATTTTTCCTGCTTAATCTTCTGAACAGCTGCTCTTGCTTGCTATATGGGCAGAGTAACCATAGATAGATAGTTGTAGATGAATGTAATAGTCATAGATGACTGACATCTTGGTTTTTCAACATATTTTCAACATAGCTTGGCAACAGAACAGAAGTGGTTGATGTTAGCTGTCTTGACTACCATAAACAGCTTCTGTGGGCTTTCTGGTATTTGGAAAGAGGAAGATAGGGAGATGCCATGACTAATGAATGTATCTCATTATATCACAGAATGGCCAGGGTTGGAAGGGACTTCAAGGATCATGAATCTCCAACCCCCCTGTCACATGCAGGGCCACCAACCTCCTCATTTATGCTAGACCAGGCTGCCCAGGGCCCCCTCCAATCTGGCCTTGAACACCTCCAGGGACGGAGCATCCGCAACCTCTCTGGGCAGCCTGTTCCAGTACCTCACCACTCTCACAGTGAAGAATTTTCCCCTGATGTCCAACCTAAATCTCCCCGCCCTCCACCTAAAACCGTTTCCCCTCGTCCTGCTGTTATCTACCCCTTCAAAGAATAGACTCCCCTTCTGTTTGTAGGCTCCCTTTAGGTACTGGAAAGCTGAGTGAGGTCACCCCGCAGCCTTCTTTTCTCCATGCTGAACAAGCCCAGCTCCCTCAGCCTGTTTTCGTAGGGGGGGTGCTCCAGTGCCCTGATCATCTTTGTGGCTCTCCTTTGGACCCTCTCCAACAGCTCCCTGTCTTTTTTGTACTGGGGGCTCCACACTTGGATACAGTATTCCAGATGGGGCCTCACAAGGGCAGAGTAGAGAGGGACAATTACCTCCCTGTCCCTGCTGGCCACCCCTCTTTTGATGGAGCCCAGGATACCATTTGCCTTCTGAGCCGCAAGAGCACACTGTTGGCTCATATTAAGTTTTTCCATCTATCAAGACCCCCAGGTCCTTCTCCACAGGGCTGCTCTAAAGGACTGCTCCTTCCAGTCTGTATGGATGCCTGGGATTCCTCTGGCCAACTGCAAAGCTCTGCACTTTGCTGTGTTGAACCTCATAAGGTTCACCTGGGCCCACCTTTCTAGCCTCTCGAGGTCCCTTTGAATGGCATCCCTTCCTTCAACTGTGTTGACTGCACCACTCAGCTTGGTGTCATCAGCAAACTTGCTGAGGGTGCACTCGATTCCGTCATCAATGTCCTTGGTAAAGATGTTAAATAGCACTGGTCCCAAGACAGACCCTTGGGGGGCGCCGCTCGTTCCCAGCCTCCTCCTGGACATAGAGGCATTGATCACCACCCTCTGTCTGCGGCCTTTCAACCAGTTTCTTACCCATCGAATTATATCTTTTATTGTTTTAATTTTACTCTACAAAAGTATGAGTGTAACTAAAAATTTTTTTGATTGGGGGTGTAATTTTCTATTTGGTGGCCCAGAGACATGAAAACAATGGTTGACTGCTTTTTGGGAGTATAATAGAATACTGACAGTTTTTTACCACTGATGTGTATGCAAATATAGGACTTAAAAATGCATTTTTTTTAACAAAGCAAGAGGTAGGATCTTTTGTATTCTCTAGTTCTGCAAATAAAATATATACCTTTGCCTCTGTTTAGTTCTCAACACAAACTTTAATTTTTCTTTGAGCTATTCAGGCCTATAGAATGTATGTCTTACCATTTTTCTAATCTGATTAAGACATCTAGGGTTTTACTTTGAATTTCAGTTTTTCTGTTGAATAGCTCTGTATTCCTCACTGATGTTTACCCTCTTTGCAAATAGTTCCTTATGGATGTAAAGCTTGATGCTTAGGTATTCAGTAGCTGAGAGTAAGGTCTGTTTAATTCTTCTTAGGAATCCTGTTGAAGTGGTAAGTAGGTGCTAGAAAGGTAAGATTCACAAATTGTGGGTGCTAAGTTTTGCCTTGGCATAGCCAGTTTCCTTGCTTTTCCCCATTAAACAGGAGTGCAGTGATCTTTTACATACATTCCGTACTCTTATGAAAAGAGTAGCAGTAATAGGAGTGTTTGTCCATGTTAAATGGTGCCATTATTACAATAACAGGCAGGGTAATAAGCAGCAGCATTTATCAGTGAATTTCAATGCTCTGGAAGACCTTATAAAAAAGAGTATTTCCAGATGAAAATGCACCTACTTTAATTATCTTTGCAGGGAAGTAATGAAATTGCTTTTGTTACGGTGAGTCTTCATTATCATCAACTTCTTGAGAGAAGTGCTTTGGGTTCTGCAACAGTGTAAGTTTTGTTTGTTTTTTTTTTCCCCTTCTTTGTGGGCAATAAAGATAACCTTATGAGTAAAACTTAGTTTTCCAATTAGAATTGGTTGCTGATAAGAGTTTGTATTTAAGCAGTAATTGACCATTCTTGTTCACTAGAAACAAGTTAGGGTAACTATATACAAAGATGCAGAAGTATTTTTATACTGAAATGTTGCCATTGTTATGCTGTTAAGGAGATAATTCAATCATATAAGCAGTTGCTATTTTGAGAAAGTTAGAAATATTCTCTTCCTCCAAATACTTTCTTTTCACATGCAGGCCTTTCATTTCCTTCTCTCAGAAGGAAACCTAAAAAGACGACATTTTAGGGCGTGGGAAAATAATTTTAAGTTGTGTAAGAGGAGAGGGAAAAAAATCCTAGTGTATTGGTAAGGTGCCTTTCAGTCTGGTTGCAAAGCTGACTGAATTTCCCATCAAGTGTTTTCTTCCTGTGTATAAAGTGCATAATATCTATAAACATTTTGAAAAGGTGGGAACATTTTTAGCTGTAGGAGATTATTTTAGAAATTTGTTTTTTCCCTTCTCCCACCTGCTCACCTTGTTATTCAGACACAGTTGTATATGCTAGTGGTAGTCTTGCATGCCTGCTATAACTTGGTATGACTTTTTTTTCATTTAAGGTAAGACTTAATATGATCTCACTGAACAGCAAACAGACATTATGTAGGATTTGCTCTGGAATTTGGGCTCTACTGATAACTTGTGTGCAATAGTTTAGTAGTTACAGACAATAACTGATATTCTAGAGAAGTCTATCTCTCACTGGCTTTTAGATTTGTAATTAAAATGATGCAGTTTTCATCTTATGTGAACAAGTCTGTACTTAGGAGTGTTACAGATGTATCTTTTCAGGTTGACTCTTGTATTTTCTGCCTTTGGCTGGACTGGACAGTTTACTAATAAACTGTTAGAGAAACATGATGAACTAGAGATGTTTGACTTTCAAAAGTATCAGCAAAAAAAAAGTGAATATGTATCTTCAGAATTTTTTTTTCTCATAAATTCTCCAAAATTATCCTCTCAGTGTAGGCTATATATTGTATCTCTTTGTATTAAGTTCTTCCCTGTTGCTTAACTCATTTGCTTTTCTTTTTTTTTCTTTTCTTTTTTTTTTTTTAACTTAAGTCAGTACGTTCTTCCACCTGATAAACCTGTGCTGGATGATATTGACCCGGAATATGGACTGCATGACTACGACTTACATCTTGATATGCACAGTGAAAAGCATACTTACATGTGTGGAACATTCAGGAGTCTCTTCTGCAGAAAAGGTTGAGTTCACAGAACAATAATGTCTGTTTATAAAATTATCTCTACTGTTATGCTTTCCCTCTTATATTCAGTTTACCTTTGGTGAGGGAAGAAACTGATATTAGTTTTCAGAGCAAACTATAATTTTTTGTTGCATTATTTCTTTATATTTGCATGGTGTTTCCTAAGATTTTGTAAGCTTGCTCTGTGTGAAGTCTGTCTGCTATTACATTAACATAATGTTGGGCCTGAGCTGTACATTCTGTAGATGATCAGGATGCTTTCATTTGGTTTAGTGCAATGGCACAGCTTTTTGCTCAGATATTCTTATAATATAAGGGACAGTGAGGTTCTTCTCAGACAATCTGGAGTCATTCTTCTGTAGAATTCTTCTCAAGCAGACTGTAAGTACATGGAAGGATGCATATGTAAATGTTTTTATAAGATATACTTCATACTTAAAGATTTACAGCTTTTATATAGGTCAGCTTAAGGTTGCCCATTCTGCCATTCTTTCTTTTTGTGTGTGTATGTGTATATTAAAAAATTTCCTTGATTATTTTTAATTATCTTGTGTTTTTCAATTTTTTTTTCTTTTAATAGAGTTGTTTATGTACAACCCAACTTAATAATTCACTAAGGTTTTGCAAAACCACGTGGATAATCTTTCTTTTGGCTTGGCTTTAACACTGCCCTGCCTACAGCTACACAACTGTTTGACAGCAGCAGGAGTCTCTGGGAACAAGTGGCTCTCTTAAGAATCCTCCTGCAGTGACTGTTGCATTCCTGTGTAAGCTTTACCAGCAAAGATCTCTTCTGCTGGCATCTTTCATTCACAGTATAAGTTAATATGGTGACAGAGCCTCTTTCTGTTTATTTTTTCATCCTGCATATTATTCAATTACAACAATGCCAACAGATTCTGTGAAGCTGGCCAGAGATGTGTTTTTCTTGGAGACAGTTACTACTAAGTATTTATATATATGCATGTTTGTAGGTAAATACTGTAACTTGTTAAAGCTAAGCTTTAACAATATAATATGCCCACTGAACTCTCCAATGACAAATGCATGAACAGTGAAATTACAGAAAATATAAGTACTATCTCGTTTATTGCATAAAATTCTGTTTTTCTGCCATCTTTTTTTTTTTAATGGAAGATCCTGTCTAATGTCATCCTTTCTCTAGCCCACAAAGCAAATGTATTGGTCTAAAATGCAGAAGATAATTACTTAGTCAAAGTTGAAATCGTTTTTCATAAATCTCAGATCTTAAAGAATAAAACACCATGAATTAATTATTACTTCTTACTGTTTTTCTAATAAGAGTACCAACAAGCCTTCTGTTGATTTCTGAAAATTCTGTGTTTAAAGAAGACAGCAGAGGGCACTGTTATCAGGCTTGATACGGTGTTGGAAAAACTCACATTTAGACTGCAGGCTTTTGTGTAGCATGCAATGTTGAAGTCCTTTGAATTTGAAGCATTTGAAACGTACGCATTCTCAGATTTCCTAAAAGGTCCAAGCTTGAAATAAAGAAACATGAGGAAGGTTAAACTTCAGTGAATTTCTATCCATGTAGCAATAGAAATCTCTACTGTTATTACTGATGCTGTTATTACAGGAGCCCACTTTATACCTTTACAAGAAAATAATTTGGTGGGTTTTTTGTGTTTTTTTTAATGAATTGGCTGGAGAATGTGGGTGGTGGTTTTTCTAAATTTTTGTTTGCTTGTTTCTGAAGTAAATACCATTTTTTGTTGTCTAAAATGAAAATTTGAGGCTCCTTGCTGTCCAGCTGCAAAAGATAAAGCAATATGTGGCACATCTACTTAATTGGTATCGCTGTTTTGCTGCTTAGAAGTTATAAGAAGCTATAAAGAAAGGAGCTGAAGTTCTGATGCCATCTAACTTTGATAGTTAGAGGATGTTTTATGATCACCAGTATTTTCTTGTCTGTTTTGACTTTGTGTCCTTTAAATGCATGAAGAAGTCACTCCATTCTGCTCTCAGAGGATATCAGCCAGCTGAAGCTGTGGTTCTGCAGGCAAATAAGCTCATCTGTTATCTTCCATGTAGTTGCACAGTAATTCCTTTTGGAAAATGCTTGGTTTCCTCCCTAGTTTCTGTTTGAAAATAATGTAGTGAGGCAGTTTATGGCGCTCTGCTGTAACATAGACAACAGTGATTTGTTGTCTGTCTTTTTGCTCTTCCTGGTTAAGGTGGTGCTTCAGAAAGTGTAGGTTAGGCCAAGTCTGTATTTCATGCTTTGAACTTTATTTTTAGGTTCTGTTTAACAACAGTCATTTCTATTTCCATGGAGTGATTCTGAAGCATGGAGGATTCCAACATAGTAAGAAGTCTTGTGTCTTAAAATTCTCTACCCATCCAGACTTATCTTAAAATTATGAATATGATGTGCTAAAGGCAGTTTTCACAACCTGAAGCGCAGAACATTTTTCAGATGTTATACTGCAGTTTTACTTAGTTACTTTTTTTACATTGTGAAGCTGTAGACACTGCTGGATTACCAGAGTATGTCCATTTGTTATTCCACAGAATAACTGTTTTATTTGTTCTAATTGCTTTATTTATCTGCTTTTCATTAGTATCCAATAATGCTGTGTTCATTCTTGCTTCTGTGTTCAATTCTTTCTGCAAAATTCATAGCATTAAATTAAAAAAGTTATATCACACTTCATTGAACCATGTGGATGGACTAAGTGTGACTTCAGTTGTTTTTTTTTAAATTCATACTTGTGCTGCAGTAGCTAGCTTTTTCAGCACCCTGTTTTGGCTGTTGTTTAGCATTTTATTTTGTTTCTTTATGTTTAAACAGAATCGCTAATACGTTACTGTTGACAGATACTGTAGGAGGAATATGCTAAAAGATTTCAAATTGAATGTATTAGAAAACTTTCCTTGTTTTCAGAAACCTGTGACAAACTTTTACATCTGACTCATCCAAAAATCATGAATAGTGCATCTAGCTTTTAAATAAATAGTCTTAAAATGTATTTACCTAGCTCTTCAACTCTTCAAGGATAACTTTGTAGCCATGTGGTAGCCTAAGCTTCAGGTCTGTAGTTTATTAATGCTCGTTGTCACTTGATGTGTTGTGCCTAGAAAATGTAATGAGGTGATTTTTTTGTGTGTTTAGAGTGCTTGTAAGATATGTTTGTAAAATATTGCATTGTGTGTTTGGAATTTTTTCACTTGACCTTGAGGATTGATTTGCGAATTTAAGTTGTTATTTCAGCACTGTAAGGCATGTTGTGGCCACCAGAATTGGTGAAGCACAGCTTTGTCTATGAAAACAACAATTAAGTCATCACTTATAATTAAGACCTGGTTAACAAATTCACTTGGCCACGTAGGCACTCATAACTCCTTGAGTTATTTCTTTCTTTCCCTGAGGTTTGACTACATGATATATGTTCTCTATATTGGCATTCCCTTTATTTGGAAATACTTATGCCCTTTAACTTGTACTGACTAAAAGACTGCTCAGCTGCTATACCTGTCTTGCATAAGCTGAACTATGATTATTATGAGGGGGAACAATGAAACAAATGATAGATGAGTTTTAAGCGAGCCCTGTCTAACTTGTCTTCTCCATGTTCCCCTGGATATGTTTAATATTCCTTGCTCTGCCTTTTGTTTCCTTTCTTATCTGACTGGGATGAGGAAGGTTTGGCTACTTGATAACTTCTAGTAGTACATTTTCTTTCTTATGGCTGTGAGCATTGGGATGGAACGTTTATACCTTAAAAAAAAAAAGGTATATAATTGAATGAAATGACCCATCTGTGTCAGCCTTTAGATTCCTGTTCTGTGCTGTCTCTTTCCATCTTGGTTTGTAGTTGAGAGTTACTAAGTTACACCCTACCCAATAGGCCTACCTAGCAATGCAGTATTTCTGTTATTAATGTTGTGCAATAGTGATATCCTGCGCTTCATTAATTTATTAGTGGTGTATTTTTTTCAGTCTGCCTTTATTCCATTAAAGTTTTCATTTGTTTTGAATAAATGAGAATGACTGCTTCTGTTCAAATCTGAATTGTGGATAACTGAATAGCCTTCGAAAAAATGCTTGTTGACTGATGTTATTTTACATTTCCTTTATAAAAGCTCATCTTTAAGTGCAGGCTTTTAATGTTCACTCTGTAGAGCCTGAATATTTATCTTAAATGAAATCTTGTCATTGGACTTGATTTACTGAAGTTGGGAACTGAATCACCTGGGTAGGTACTAGGTATACTTAGTGCATTTTTTTGTGTGTGTGTTGAACTGGAACCTGGAAGGGAATTCTGCTTGTTTTTCCTCTTTGAGTTCTCTAATGGGACTTCACTACAAGGATAATGGAGTGATGCATTTTGCCTGGAGACATGCCCTAGCTAAATGGTCAGGCCCACAGGATGGTAGTCCATGGCACAAAGTCTAGCTGGGAGTCAGTAGTGGAGCAACACAGTGATCAGTATGGATTCCAGTCTTATTTAATATCTTTTAAAATGATCTAGCAGTGGATCAGAGTGTTTACTTAGAAGCTTGCTAATGACAGAAAACTAGGGTAGAGTGACAGATCTTTCTCTGGTCGATGTGCTGCCATCCAGAAGAACCTCAGCAGGCTGGAGAAGTGGGCTGACGGAAACTTCATGAAGTTCAAGAAATGTGAAGCTCTGCACGTGATTCCAGCATCAGTACTTACTGGATGCCACCAAGCAGCTTTACAGAAAATAACCTGAGGGTCCTCGTGGGCACCAAGCTGAACATAAGGCAGCAATATGCCCTTGTTGCTAAGAAGGCTAATGGTATCCTAGGTTGTATTAATCAAAGCATTGCCAGCAGGTGGAGGGAGGTGACCCTTTCCCTCTTCTCTGCTCTAATGAGGCCACACATGGAGTGCTGTGTTTGGTAGCCATGTTTTCCTGCTTTTTCTTTTTCAGAGAAATAATAATAGTAAACAAAAATGAAGGGAAGATATTTAATCATTTATTCATGTATTATGTGTTGACCTTGACTTCTGGGGGCAGGCAATGATGGAGGCACTTGCTGCACGTGACTGAAATATTAAACATGAAGTGTATTCCTTGCATCTTACATAACTCCTTTAGGTAGCCATGAGATTTGTATACTCAACATTTTTTTAGCTGCTGTTTCTACTTTGGATCATGGCATCAAAGCTCTGAATTGTGACTTCAATTCTCTGTGATGTGCTGGGTAGTTAGCTGGTGGTGTATGTCTGAGTTGCTTTATAGGTGAGCAGGTGGCAACTAAAGACACAGACGAAAGTAGAGAAGAAAAAATATTTACAGTGTATTTGATTTTTGTTCTATTTGTGGATGTATAATGTTATGTAAATATTTTCAGGTGACATTGAAAATGGATATTTGAAGCTCACAGTTGTAAGCTTAAAGGATAACACAAAGCACATACCTCTTATTGGGACAGTTGGCTTATCCTGGGAAACAGCTGCCTTTAAAGGCATTGTAAAGGTCAGTCAGAAATACTTTTCATTTCTGGAAATGTTCATCTCTAAATAGAATTATGTATATACGTTCTAAATACTATATTATTAAAAAATTTCTGGTTTAGAGAATAGAATGCATGATAAACCCATTATGCATGTTTGCTGACAACTGCAATGCTTTCGACAACGAAGATGCTGTGTCTGACTAGCACTGCTTGGAAGCATTGGACCAACAAGGCACTGCAGATGTGCAAGTGCCTTTCTTTTTCCTTGTAAGCAATAGATCTTGAACCTCGGGGAAATACTGGGCAGTTATGTTGTAGCATGTATGTGCAATGAAAGTTAGAAACTTCTTGAAGAATACTGGTGCCAGTGGACACCATCAGAAAATATAGCCTGCATTCAGTCAGGATTTTAGCTCTTGAGTCATGCAAATGGGATCAGCTGGATTAAAAGACTGTATTATAGAGGACTTCTCATTTGTTTTCTCATATAAAATTCCTAAAAGAATGGTTTTGGAGAAAGATCAAGAGTAGTTCTGTAGACTTTGCAGTAGTGCAGGCACACATTTCTAAATGTACTGCTTTCAAATTTCAGAAATTCCTGCAAGTCCTACTATAAAATAATTTTGTTCAACATTTCATTTCAGTTTTGACATTTACTTTGAAAGGAGTAAAACAATTAATAAAACTGCTTTTCTCCTAATCCTGCATAAAGGTGGAATGAAGCACTGTTTGATAGCATAGTGGTTCGTTCATAGCATTAGCATAAACCACTATTTATGTCAAGCAGTTTTTCTGTGCAATGAAGAATATAAACTTCATCTTAAAACATAGTAACCAATGTGTATTTGTTGAGAAGATTAACTAGAATTGAGTTTGAATTAGTTTCCATCCAGTCTTTTCTTTCTATTTATTTGTAGCAGTTTTTTTCCTCGTTTACATGGTGACTGTGATTTTCAGTTGCATATTTTTCCCTCAGTTTGTACCAAACTGTTTTGAATTAGGTGTTTTCAAAAGAACAACAAATCCATCTCCTCTTGATCTTAATAAGAGTATTGTATGTTATAGTAGAAGGAATTTTAGCTGAGGAAATATTTCTAAAGACAATTCTGTCCTTTGTATTTACGGCATAAGTTATTCTGAATATTTGCTTTTAGGAAAAAATAAATATCAGTCTTTTTTAAATGTCTCATTTTATGCTAGAGCTGGCTCATGTTGACACATAGCTATGGGTAGAATTCAATTAAGCTTTTAACATAAATCTCTAAAATTCTTAAAACAAGTGAAGGCCAAATAAAACCAGCGACCAGAGCAGAGTATGATACTAGTTTGAATTTATTTGAAGTTCATCTGATATTCTAAGAAAGAAAGCTTTCTTTGACACTCTGAATATTTGTTTTGAAAACAAGTTATTGAATTACTTCAGAATGCATGGAGAAAGAAGAGCTACCAGTGCTCAGGGTCACCCTGCTTTACTTTTCACATTTGGCCTTTGAAATGTAAAGTGTCAGATTAGAAAATAGTAATTCTTAGAATTGCAGAACCATTCAGCTGCGAAAGACCTTTGAGATTATCAAGTCCAAGGACCAACCTGACCTACCATTCCTGTCTCTAAGCCATGTCCTCAGAGGGTACTGTATCTTCTGAGCCTCCTCTTTAGCTCAGTAGCAATTGTAAACACGGAGCCACTGTAAAATATCCACCAGATTTTAGGCAGGTAAGAGCAAAAACTCGGACCTCTAACATTGACTTGAATGCTGCTGATACCATTTCATTAGGAAAGTGGGACTTTTACAGTACGTATTTTTCCCTAGGATTCTCTTAAGACTACTGTGTGTCAAGTATATTTATACCTAATTAAGTTATTAAATGATCATCAAATTTAGTTTGAATTGTATATTTCTCATCATAGTCTATATTAACAAGCTTATGGAAGCTTTGTATGTCATTTAAGGTTTTGCCATCTGCTCTGTGTTGTTTGTTTGAAGTACAATAACACTGAAGAAATTGTTAAAGCAACAGAAACACAGTTATAGTACTGAGAAATAAAGCATTCCAAATTATTTCTTGACATGGAATGTGCGATGCTATGTTGGTTATGCTTTTGGAACAAATGATGCTTCTGGAAGTAATACATATATACAACGTAATTAAGACAGGCTGATTTACTTAATGATTCAGAGCTGCTGAGAATAGGTAACAACTGATATGCACATACATAAAACCTTCACTTTGCAAGTGCCCCAGAATTGGCATCCTGATTTTAGCCTTAGAAAGTGATATAATTGTGTAGTGTTCTAAGGAAATACTTTCAAGAAATTTTTAACAGGAAGAATTATTTCCTTTATAGCTGGCAAATAGAATAATTGTGTGTGTTAGCTGCCTGAAGGGTTGTTTCATTGTGTGTTTTTGCAAGGATTGCTGCATTCATGGAAGTTGAACACTTTAGTTTAAACTTAGGTTTATTTCTCACATAGAAAGGACTATCTTTTTTTTTGAACCTCAGATTTTAAAGGCTTAAAAGTCTTCAAGAAATAACATCTGATTTAGGGTGGCAGTGCTATCTCTTGTTTTGCAAGAGTTTTTTTTTTTGATGCTTGTATGATGCAAACTTGATTTCTGTAAGAAATCTCTAAGAACGTACCTTGGTTTGTAGTAGTCAATGAAAGATTATCAGTTATATTTTGAATTTTTTTCCTTCATTCCAAAACTTGCTGTCTCTTGAAACCTTAGTATTCCTCCCTAAAATCAGGGATAGAACTGTTTACTGTGCCTTGGTGTAGGAAAGTAATCTCTTCTGTTTTTGTTTGTAGGACTGTTACATGATGGATGTTACTGTCTTGGATGAAACTCAAAAACCCTTCTGGTGTTTCAGTGCCCCAGTTTGCATGGAACTCTCTTCCAAAGTGTCCAACCTCTATGATTATATGGGTCATATCTATATCACAGACTATGCAGATTCAGAAGGTAAAGTCTGTGTTGAATTGGTGTGGTTGGAAGAAACTAAAGAGTATTTCATAGTCAGTCTCGTTCTTTACATAAGCACGGAAAAGGTTAATAATTGGTATGGAACAAAGTACTGATATAATTATATTGTTGCTTTCATTGCTTTAAAATAATAATGAAATACATAGGGTTCACTTTATTATGTTTAAAATTTAATGTGAATGGAAAATATTATTTGCAAGTTTTGCACTTTTGGCTTTCCACTAACAAGTAAAATTGCATACATTTGTTAACTGACATTGGATAAATTGAAGAGGGATATTGATAAAAATTGTGTTTTTTTTTTCCTGTTAAACATCACATTGTTAGCCTGTTGCTGGTACTGTACACCTTGAAAATATTTTTAGGAATCATTTTTTTTATAGACACCTTTGAGTATAGTTAATAAATTACTTCTTGTGAGAGCCATACTGTGAAGAAGCTCTACCTTATTTAAGATGCACTGGATTTGAGAGCATTCACCGTTATGCCTCTGTGGTAGTTTCACACTGATAGGTAGTTAAGCTCCACTGTACCACTCTCTCACTCCCTCTTTTCTCCCCTGTTCTGTTGAAGAACCTCATGGGTTAAGGACAGAGAGATCACTCACCAGTTACTATAATGGGCAGAAAGGACTCTGAATAGGGAGATGAGTGTAATTTATTGTCCACTGCTAGCAGCCTAAAGCAGCGAGAGCTAAAAGCAAACTGAAAACACCTTCCCCCTCCACACCAGCTCCTTCTACCTCCACCCCTCATGCTACACAGGACAGTAGAGAAGAGGGGCTGTGGTCAGTCTGTAGTGCTTTCTCTGCCACTTATCTGTGGTCACCCTCTACATCTGCTCCAAGTGTGGTCCATCCCACAGGATGCTATCCTTCCTGAACTGATCCTGCATGAGCTTCCCCCAGGCTGCAGTTCTCCAAGCATGGCAGCAGTTTCCCAGCCCTCCTGTCCCATTGTGGGCACTCTTCTCCATGGGCTGCAGCTCTGGCCTGGTGCTGTTTCAATGGAGGTTCTCCATGGGCCTTACTTCCTTCAGGCCTCGTCCACTGCTACACTGTGGGCTCCTCCATGGGCTACCTGTGAAGATCTACTTTGTGTAGTAGTGCCCATGGGCTGCAAGAGGACAGCCTGTTCTACTGTGGGTTTCTCCTGGGCTGCAGGGAGCTTCAGCTATGCACCTGGAACCACAGAATCATGGAACGTCTTGAGTTGGAAGGGACTCACAAAAGGATTGAGTCCAATTCCTGGCTTCATACAGCACCACCCAGAGTTCAAACCCTGTGCCTGAGAGCAATGTTCAAACTCTCCTTGAACACCAGCATGCTTGATGCTGTCCACTGCTCTGGGCAGCCCATTCCGTGCCCACCATACTCTGGTGCAGACCTTTTCCCTCACCCCCAGCTGCCCTCCCCTGGCACAGCTCCATGCCATTCCCTCGGGCCCTGTCGCTGTCACACAGAGCAGAGCTCAGCGCTGCCCCTCTGCTCCCTATGAGGAGCTGCAGCTGCCATCAGGCCTGCCCTCAGCTCTTCTGCTCTGCGCTGAACCAACATGGGGACATCAGCTTCTCCTCATACATCTTGTCCTCCAGACCCTTCTCCATCTTCATAATCCTTCTCTGAATGCTCTCTGTGACTCCATGATTTTTGGTATTAGTGGAGGGTTTCAATCAACATTTATATTATAACCCAAAATGAAGAATCCTGTTCTTTTTTGTTTAATTGTTTAATTTTGGGTCTGCTCTTGTAACCTTCTACTCTCTGAACTGAAATTAGTACAAAATACTAAACTTTGAACTGGATGTCCCAGAGGTGGTCTAAGCCAAAAGGGATTAACCCCCTGTTTTACTACGAAAAAGGAATACTTGCAGTTTTACCTCTGATAGTACATAAAGAATGAATTCTGGTAAATCATTAATGCTCTGTTTTTCACGTGCTCTATTCTGATGATGAACTAGAATTGCTTTCAACAAAGGTAAAAAGAAAGATGGTGAGTAAAACTTATGCAAGAACACATAAAATTGCAAAAGCAAAAAAGAGCTTTGTTGCACAGCACCTTCTCCACTCCTTCTGCACTGACCTTGGTGGTTGCAGGGATGTCTCTCTTGCATTTTCTCTTACTCCCTCTCTCCTCCTGGCTGGTCTTATCAGCAGTTTTCCCTTCTTTTCATCTGTTCTCCCAGAGCACACCCAGCATTAACCAGCTCAGTTCTGGCAGAGATGGGGCCCTGTTAGAGCAGGCTGGGGCTGCCTTTGATCTGACATAGGGCCACAGCTGGCTTCTGCTCACCGAGACAGCCTTGCTACCAAAACCTTGATACCTATGCCTAATACAGCCTACTAGTAAAATAGCATGTGTGCTGTTTCCTTCCCATTCATTAGAACGTTACTGGTAAATAACAAGTTTTGGCAGATTTTGTTAAATGCAAAAATGTTTTTCAGAAAATAGTTTATATAAATGTAACAAAAGATGGCAGAAAGATTGAATGCCCCACTCAAGTGCAACGTTTTTATCCTATAGAAGAATTATTCAAACAGGAGAAGTGGTGAGCATCAGTTGAAATTGGGTCATCCAAATATACAGCTGCTGGTCACACTGAATGAAATGTGACACTTTTGTCTAATGCTTCAGGATTTGTTGCAGCTACTTTTAATGATTTTGTTGATGATTTATACTGAGGACAGGATTTAGCTGTTTTAGTGTCATTTATCCAAATTTGAAGACCATTTCCGTGAAAGTATAAGTACTCATAAGTGAGAGTAAAAAAGTTAGAAGATTTGTGTGTGTTTCAGAGAACAACCCCTTCACATTTAAAAAAAAAAAAAAAGAAAAAAAGGCAACCACTATCAACTCCTTAATGTGTGTGTTTAACTACTCCGCAACAGACAAAACTATAATATCTTTAAGAGGGTGATTTACCTGGTAGGGAAGCATAAAAATAGTGCTTGTGTTTATTTTATTGCACATGTAATAGTGCTCGTTTAAGTTAATGAGCTTAAATTGCATTGGAAGGGAATCAGTATGAAAGAGTGATTTAATGAAAGGGTTTTTATGAGATTACTTCAAGAGTGGAGGAGTTTTCTCCCTAATAGAACTACATCACAATGTTATTCCTACTGTTTGTCATTGCTTTTGTCAGATATCTGCTGTGTTCTGAAATGCTTCTCTGGTCTTGATTTTTTATTTTTATTTTTATTTTTGAAAGAGTTACTTGTAATGGAAAATGTTTTTAGTGAACAATTCATTAATACTCCTGGGCACTTTATATGATTTTCCACTAATATAAGCTGCAACTATGTTGATTTATATCATCTGAAGAATTGCCCTTAATTATAACACTGCCATTCTGGAACTGTTGCTCTTTACTGTGGTCATTTTCCTCTAGCGGGGAACTAATAGCAGCTATATGTTTCCAAAGTATTTATGGAGAGGGGGAGTTATTACAGTATTTTTCTTCAAACTGGCCTTACAGTTGTTTTGCTTTTTCTTCCCATCTTCTTGTTATTAGAAAAAACAGCTCTGCTTTCATAGTGCTTGCCTGTTCCTCATTTGGTTTTGTATGCATGGTTTAGCACATAAAACAACTGTATGGTGGATAGTCTCTAGATATGTATTTTTTCCTGCCTGGCCTGTCTTCCTCTGTTTAGCAGAAAGGTTTTGATTTGCATTCATATAATCACAGAATGGTTTGGGCAGGAAGGGACACCAAAGCCCACCCAGCCCCACCCCATGCCGTGGGCAGGGCTACCCCCATTAGCTTGGTTGCCCAGGGCCCCATCCAACCTGGGCTTGAGTGCCTCCAGGGATGGGGCACAACAGCTTCTCTGGGAAGCTGTGCCAGCGCCTCTCTGCCCTCATAATGAAGAATTTCATCCTCATATCTAATCTAAATCTATTCTTTTTTAGTTTAAAACCATTGTGCTTTATCCTGTCACTATATTCTTTGATGGAATGTTCCTCTCCAGCTTTTCTGTAGACTCCTTTTTAGTACTGGAAGGCTGCAATGACGTCTCCTCCAGAATCTTCCCTTTTCCAGATTGAACAACCCCAACTCTCAGCCTGTCTTCATAGGAGAGGTGCTCCAGCCCTCTGATCACCACTCTGGCCTTCCTGTGGACCCACTCCAACTGGTACACATCCTCCTTTGGAGGCCATAGAGCTGAACACCGTGCTCCAGATGGAGTCTCATGAGAATTCATCCATTAGCTATTTATGGTATGGTCTTGATTTCATTGAAACTCTTTCTATTGTCTTCATATGGTTGCTTTTTGAGACAGTGGCTGTTTCTTTGCATTCTATTACATGCCTATCTGATGCTAGTGATTGAATACTTAACACATACACAAAAATAATAATAAAGAGAGGAGGAAAAGTAGAGTAGAGTTCAGCATGAGCTGAACTGGATGAATATTGGCTCAGATTAGGGATTTAGACAAGTAATGAAGTTACCATATCTTAGTGAGTTACAATCAAGCAAGTTATTCAGTAATTCGCCTTGTATGAGCGTAGCAGGTAGTCCAGCACATACAAACAATTGGAGTGAGATTTAGGCAAAAAATATTTAATCTTCTGCCTGTCTGACATGTTAGTACTGCTCAGAGATGTGGAATGACTGAATCTGAGCTCAAATATGCCTGTATTAGAAACTGCACAGGTAAATGTTTCTACAAATTACAATGAGAACAGCATGTTTTAATCTCTTCCTGTATGTGATGGATTGGAAAGACATTACTATGAAAAGTTAAATTCCATGGTCTCCTGCCTTTTTCATCCACCGTGAATCAAAATGGGGTGTGATCGCAGCAAGGATAACTAGTGAGTTGTATGTGGAGAGGATAGTTTTATGATACTGTCAGTGCATCACTTGCTCTGTTCTTACTGTCAAACTTTATTTAAATGCAGGGGAGTCTTTTGCATGCTGTGTCTCTTTTGAATGTCTGTGAAAAAGGAGCACCATCACTCTGTATTAATGCTACTTAAGTGTAGAAGTGTTATAATCTAGAAAACTGGAAGGCTTTTAGACACTCTGGAGAAAACCAAAATGGGAAAGTTATTCTTTTTGTCTATTGCTTAAAAGTATGTTCTCTGTATCAGTCATCTGGAGCTTTTGAAGGTCTTATGAATCAGTTATTGATCATACGTATTAGTGGGTGAGATTACTTTTTTCTACATACAGGTCACTTATAATACAAGTTAATAATTTTTCCTATCCTGTGTTAGTCATGCACAAAGATAGATTCAGCTGTCTTGGTGAGATCTTACAAACAAACAAAGAACAAACAAACAAAAAAACAAGATGGAGAAGAATGTTCTGTAGGTGTGTAGTGTTCTGTTTAGTCACTGAAATACCATAAGTTAGTTAAGTCCTCAGAAATTACGGAGTATTAACTATTGAACAGAAACCCCATTACTGCCTAACCCTTGAAGCTCTGAAGCAAACACCTTATCAGAGGTGTCGGTATCATCAATATTTCTTCCTAACCAAGATAAAACAAATAATAAATAAAGCTCTTCAGAAAAATCTAGGAACAATGACTGAATTTGCTGTGCTGTCTCATGATTATTCATGGTGTTTTTTTTGTTGTTCATGATCTCTTTATAACATCTTGAAATATTGCTTCCCTTATTTTAGTTTCTTTTAAAATTAGATGTTTGTATATACCTAGTGAAAATATTTAATGAAACCTTAAAGGAAAGATGGTAACATACTCTAAAACTAAGTTATTCTTTTCAAAGTTTGCTATTGGTATGATGCAGTAAGTGAAAGGATGCTATAATGAAGAAGAATAACGATGGCAGTTATGAAACATGGTGGATATGTGGCATTCTAGTTTTCTTCAAGTATATAAGGATCCTAAAATTTCAGGTTTAGTACCATTGTACTGTAGTTTTGTAAGAGTGGTGTGCTCACGTGTGA